CATTTTTGTTTTATTAATATTATTTTGAATTAGAATTTTAATTTAATTTTTAGTAATCTCGTTATGTGCTTTTGTCATTTTATTCAATTTTGTTTTTAAATGTTGATTTTTGGGTTTAATTTATTTTTTAGTTAGTTTTGGTTTTTATTTATTTCCAGTTAATAATTTTAGTACTTCAACTTGTTTCAGTTTATTGCTAAGGCAACATTTATTATTTTTTTATTTTATTTTTTTAAGCTAATATTTATATTTTATTTTAGCTTAATTTCAATTAACATATTAATTGATTAAGTCAAGTCAAGTCACATTTATTTATATAGCGCTTTTCACAATACAGATTGCATCAAAGCAGCTTCACAGTGATAACATGAAAGTAGTACAACACAGTTCAATAATATTGTTGAATATTAAATATCCCCAACTAAGCAAGCCAAAAGCAAGGCGACAGTGGCAAGGAACCAAAACTCCATCAGATTGGATGGAGAAAAAAACCTTGGGAGAACCCAGGCTAGTCAGGGGCCAGTTCTCCTCTGGCTAACAATCATAGGGTTTTAAAGAAGCTTTACAGTAAGTCCATATCAGAGAGTACCTGGAAAAAATACATTTAGTTAATCATGTAATATTTAGGGGATAACATATCGCCGGCGTTGAGTCGTCTCTTCGCAGGCGTTGAGTCGTCTCTTCACAGGCGTTGAGGCATCCGAAATCCCCGTGAGAGGCAGGATACCAAACTGGAGCCTACGAACGCCATTTTTCTCGGGACAAGCGTCCCGAGATAACAGCAGAAAGGCAGATGGGAAATAATTAGCATAGCTGATGTTCATAATGATTTCCATTACACGGGAGTAGGTGTTAGAAAACCATAATCTCACAACTCTCCGCAACCCAAACTCTCCGCAACCCAACCGCAACCATACGGACCGACCCGTTTGTCTATAAGGCTGTCGAGCCCCACTGGTGCGTTAAGCAGTTTCAGTGGCAAACGGTTCCGTATGGCATAGCAGAGGACTAAAAGGTAAGCATTATGTGAATGCTTGACTAAAGAGACACGTCTTTAGTCTAGTTTTAAACTGTATCAGCGAGTCAGAGCATCGGACCGTATCGGGAAGGCTATTCCAGAGTTTTGGAGCTAAATGCGAGAATGCCCTCCCTCCTTTCGTGGACTTCGATATCCTAGGAATGACCAGAAGCCTTGAATTTAGTGATCTTAGAGAACGCGGTGGATTGTAGGGCGAAAGAAGGTCCGTTAAGTACATAGGAGCTAAACCATTAAGGGCTTTATAGGTCAGTAGTAGTACTTTGTAATTGATACGGAACTTAATAGGTAACCAGTGCAGAGATGATAAAATCGGTGTTATATGATCATATTTTCTTGATCTAGTAAGAACTCTAGCGGCTGCATTTTGCACTAACTGTAGCTTGTTTATTGAGGATGCAGGACAACCAGCTAATAAAGCATTACAGTAATCTAGTCTCGAGGTCATGAATGCATGAACTAACTTTTCTGCATCAGAAACAGATAGCATGTTACGTAATTTAGCAATGTTTCTAAGGTGGAAAAAGGCTGTTCTTGTAACAGATGAAATATGATTTTCGAAAGACAAGTTGCGGTCTAGTATAACACCCAGGTCTTTTACTGTAGTGGAAAAAGTAACAGGGCATCCTTCTATATTAAAGTCGTATTGTAAGAGGTTTTGTGTGTAGTTTTTTGGACCAATAAGTAATACCTCCGTTTTATCTGAATTTAATAGCAGGAAATTACGCGTCATCCAGCATTTTATATCTTTGAGACATTCTGTCAATTTAGATGAGGTAATGTTTTCATCTGGTCGTGATGAAATATATAATTGAGTGTCGTCAGCATAACAGTGGAAATTAATTCCATGTTTTCTTATAATATTACCAAGTGGCAGCATATATATTGAGAATAGCAGAGGGCCTAGCACCGATCCTTGCGGTACTCCATAGTCTACTGACGTTAACTTTGATTTTCCCCCGTGTAAAGAGACAAAATGATAACGGTCAGATAAGTACGATCTAAACCAGCTTAATGCCTGTCCCTGAACACCAGTGTAGTTTTGTAGTCGATCCAAGAGTATTTTATGATCTATAGTGTCGAACGCGGCGCTAAGATCAAGTAGGACTAGTATTGAGATACAGCCTTGGTCAGAAGCTAAGAGTAGATCATTTGTAATTTTAACTAGCGCAGTTTCTGTACTATGATGCGGTCTGAATCCTGACTGGAATTTTTCATAGATATCATTTTCTTGCAAAAAAGAGCACAGTTGAGCGGATACAACTTTTTCTAGTATTTTGGACATAAATGGAAGATTTGAAATGGGTCTGTAATTTGCTAGGTTATTTTGATCTAATTGCGGTTTCTTAATGAGAGGTTTTATTACTGCCAACTTGAATATTCTTGGAACATGACCTAAGAATAAAGACGAGTTAATAATATTAAGAAGAGGCTCTTCCACTACAGCTAACACTTCTTTCAGTAGTTTAGTGGGTATTGGATCTAATGAGCATGTTGTTGGTTTAGATGCAATAATAAGTTTATTTAGCTCTTCCTGTCCTATCGTTGCAAAGCGGTGTAGTTGTTCTTGAGGGACGATAATTGAGGCTGAATCATAAGAGACCATAGAGGATTGTACATTTATAATTGTGTTTCGAATGCTTTCTATTTTCTCATTGAAATAATTCATAAAATCATTACTACTAAACTGTAACGGTATATTTTGCTCTGGTGATGTCTGTTTATTTGTTAGTCTAGCCACGGTGTTAAATAAGAACCTTGGATTATTTTGGTTATTTTCTATTAGTTTGCGGAGATGCTCAGCCCTGGCTGCTTTTAGAGCTTTTTTATAACGTGACATACTGTCTTTCCACGCGATTCTAAAGACCTCTAAATTAGTTTGTTTCCATTTACGCTCTAGGTTACGAGTTTCTCTCTTGATATCATGCGTAACACTGTTGTACCATGGTGCTTTAGTTTTCTCTTTAACCTTTTTTAATCTAATTGGTGCAACAATATCTAATGTACTAGTGAAAATGGTGCTCAAACTGCTAGTCATTTCCTCTAGTTCATCTGTTAGTTTGGGTTCACTGAGCAGCTGAGATAGATCAGGTAAGCTATTTGAGAATCTATCTATAGTGGTTGGAAGGATTGTTCTGCCTGGTCTATAACGTGGCGCAACATGACATATTTCAGCAGTACGTATTATGCACGTTACCATGTAATGATCAGTGAGATCGTCACTTTGCGGTATAATATCTATATCAGTTGGATTGGTTCCGTATGATATAATTAAATCTAGTGTATGATTTAGACGATGAGTGGGACCACGGACGTTTTGCTTGACCCCAAAGGAGTTTAATAAATCTGTAAACGCAGCCCCTAAGGCATCATTTTTGTTGTCTACGTGTATGTTAAAATCTCCAACAATTATTGCTTTATCGACATTGACCAATAGATCCGAGAGAAAGTCTGCAAACTCTTTTAGAAATTCAGCATATGGCCCTGGAGGTCTATATACAGTAGCCAAGGCTAGAGATAATATGGATTTCTTTCTTACATCTAAGAGCGTAACATTTAGCATAAGTACTTCGAACGAATTAAATCTGTGACCTGTTTTCTGAGAAATATTAAGAATATCTTTATAGATTGTTGCAACACCGCCGCCACGACCAGTCAGACGGGGCTCATGCTTATAACAGTATCCTGGCGGAGTAGACTCATTTAGACCGAAATACTCATTTGGTTTAAGCCAGGTTTCAGTAAGGCAAAGTATATCGAAATTATTATCTGTGACCATTTCATTTACAATAACCGCTTTAGGTGTGAGCGATCTAATGTTTAGAAGACCTAGCTTTAGAAATTCTTTTTGTTCACTGATATTTAGATTTTCTGGTTTAATTACAATAAGATTTTTGCTAGATCCTGCACTAGATTTATTGTTTGGCTTCACTAAACGAGGAATAGACACAGTTTCTATATAATGTTCTTCACTACGTATATCAATTAAGTTTGGACAGCAAAGACTGTGATTTGGATTTTGACTTATTAGTCATCTGGTGCGTAACGTCTTGGAGATATTATCCGACAGAACAGCCGCTCCGGCTCTGCTGGGATTAATATGTTATATAAATATAAATAAGACATATAAAACTATTATTTTTTAATAGTTTTAGTTTTTTTATATATATAGTTTTAGTTATTTTGTTCTTGGCTTCTGGTGTTTTTATTACTTTTGGGTTATTTAATATAGTTTTAGTTATTGTAGTACGTCAAGTAAATAAAAATGTGAATGGTTTCTTTGGCAACTAGCTGAAATAAAATAAGTTTAATGGTTTTATATATATATATAAATGATATAATTTAGTACTTCAACTTATTTCAGTTTATTACCAAGGCAACATTTATTAATTTTCATTTATTATTATTTATTTTTTTATATATATATTGCTATTTAGGATTATTTATTTTTTATTTCAGTTTCAGTTTTGGTTTTTATTTATTTCCAGTTAATAATTTTAGTGCATATTTCAGTTTATTACCGAGGCAACCTTTATTAATTTGCATTTAGTTTTCAGTTTTTTTTTTAAAGCTAATATTTATATTTTATTTTATTTTAGATTTATTTCAATTAAGAGATATTAATAATAGTTTTTTTTTTTAATACAGTTTTTATTAATATTTTGAGTTTTATATTCTTCATTTCATTTTATCATAGTTAAAGATTTAGTCATTTTGTTGTTGGCTTCTGCTGTTTTTATTACTTTTGCGGTTATTTAATATAAATATCAATATAGTTTTTATTAATTTTATTTCAGTTTTAGTTATTTTAGTACGTCAAGTAAATGAAAATGTGAATGGTTTCTTTGGCAACTAGCTTAAATAAAATAAGTGTAATGTTTGTTTTGTATATATTGTATTGTATTTCCGCCGAGGTGTGTTGTGGTGTGTGTGTTCTCGACTGTAACGTCCGGCTGGTCCTCAGGACTCGGAGTGTGTGGAGATCATGCTGGGAGTGTGTTCCAGCGGCCTCCTCGTCTACAGGGATAAACTGCGCATCAACCGCTT